AAAAAAAAAAAAAAAAAATAGTAAGATAGTCTCTGAAGTGTCACTGCTTGTCCAAACAGGAAAAAAAAAAGATTGTGTACTCCAGACTCAGCTACAATAAATAAGATGCATAATTTTCCATTGGCTTTGGATTACCTGTGACATTTGAAAAGCTTAAGTTGTTTCACTAGGATACTGACTGGCTGGTTTTCACAAATGTCTTCAGCTGCGTGTGTAACTTACATGGGTAAATACTGAGAGTACACGTATCATCTTGCCAAAGGAAAGTACAGGAAACCTAATCCATTTTCCAGGCCAGAATTTGAGGCTCCATTTGTCTCTTGCATTTATATGTGTCCCTATGAAGAGAGCCAATTGGCAAATATTTCCTGAGTTCCTATCACAAACACTGAGCTAGAGGCTAGAGACAGTTTGGAACTTCAGGATGGGTATGAACATAAAAAACAGGAGGAAGGGGGCAAGATCGATTAGGGGAGATGGACATGTAACAACAGGTCAACTATTACGTAATAAGGTCACAGCACTGAAGGCAGAGGGGGCAGGGGTACATAGGCAGGGCCAAGTCAGCCAAAGAAGTGCAGGGAGGTCTCATGGATCTTCAAAGATGGGCAGGTGTGCCCCCAGCAGCCAGGGAGGCCCAGCATTCCAGAAAAGGGAGCAGAGTGAGCAGAGGCACTGAGGCAAGGCCAGCTGGGCAAGGCCAGGGGAACTGCCTGGGGTTGAGGACAGCCAGGGCTTGGAAGTGTGGTGACCAGGTGAGGCAAGGAATGAATGAGGTTCCCCATCAGGATGGCCTCATCTGCTGTTCAAGGAGCATGGCCTTTCTGTAGGTAACAGGGAGCCCAGAGGGCTTCAGCTGGGCAGTGACAGGCACATTTCTGTTGTGGAAGAATGTTCACTCAGGCTGTAACATGGAGAAGCAGGGGGCAGGGCCGAAGGGAGATTGGGAACCAGAAAGGGGACTATTGCAGTTGTCAGACAAAGGTCTGCGCTATGCCAGGGTCTTGGGGTCTGGGAGATGTTGAGGAATCTGCAGGTTTCCCAGCAGCTCTGAGGGATGCCAGGGAGGAAGGTGTCTTGGGTGACTCCCAGCTTTTGGAGCTGAGTGAGCCTGGGTGGATAGTGGTGTGACTCACAGAGGAAGCACAGGGAAGTGAACGAGGGGCCTGAGGTCTGGACATGCTGCATTCGAGGCCCTAGGAATGTCAGTGGGTAAGTAGGTTGCAGGGAAACACCAGTAGAAAGGGAAGGATTTGAAATAAAGAGGAAGAAGCTGATGAACAGGGTCCCGGGCCTGGAAGTAGAGGCGGAGCTACAGGCCAAGGTCTATTCTGCCAAAAGCACATCCCTGGGCTGAGGGATAGGGGAGTGTAAACAGGGAGGTGTGTTGGTCTTGGGGTGGGGAGCTGAAGGAGTCTACACCTGGCAGGTTCTGGCTCTTAGAGCATGGGAGCTGGCCAGGGAGCAGACATTCTGAAAACAGCCAAGGGGTACAAGGCTATTGTGGGAACTGGGAGAGGAAAGTGACCAGTCTCATAAAAGACTTTGCTGAGGGGATCCTGAGGGACAAGCTGAGGGTGAACAGTTGCTGTTTTTGTTGGTTTCTTTTTACTATTTTTGTGTTTTTAAGGCAGGGCCTATGTTGCCCAGACTGGTCTCGACCTTCTGGACTCAAATGATCTTTCTGCCTCAGCTTTCTGAGTTGCTGGGATTACAGGCATGTGCCACGGCACCCAGCTTATTGTAGATTTTCAGTTGTGCCAAGGCTATTCCCATGATTTAGAAACAAATGTGACAAAGTTCAGTCCCTAAAGACAAGAACATTTAAGGAGAAATAGTCTTTGTTATGGAGACACAGGTTTAATTAATTGGGTTGTGAGCAAAGATGTGGCAGAGGCCACTCTGCTAAAAGGATTGGAACATCTTGAAACTTTTTAGGGGAAGAAGACATGTCCTTCCACCCAACACATAGCTGTGTGAAGGCTGCTGTACACTGACCCCTCTTTGCCTCTGTGGACCCACATAGAGGAAGCAGGACATGAAGTGAAAGACTCTCAACCTTTCAAGAACCGCAATTTGTCATTTTCCCAATGTGGTTCCAACCTAATCCCACAATTCCAGCTAATCCTGTTTCCTTTTTTTTGAGAATACTTTGTGTTTCTACCAGGTAGGGAGGAGGAAAAAAGAAAGTTTCAAAAAGCTTAACTCTTCTCTCAAATTGGAATTTAAAGAAAGATACTTGGCCAGGCACACAGTGGCCTCATACCTGTAATCCCAGCACTTTGAGAGGCTGAGGTGGAAGAATCACTTGTGCCCTGGAGTTTGAGACCAGCCTGGGCAACATAGTACAATCCTATCTCTATTTAAATTTTTTAAAAAAAGAAAAGCCAGATATGGTAGTGTGTGCCTTAAGTCCTGAGGCTGAGGCAGGAGGATTACTTACTTGATCCCAGGAGTTTAAGGCTGCAGTGAGCAACCCTGGGCAACAGAGACCCTGTCTAAAAAAACAAAAACAAAAAACAAAACAGAGAAAGGAATAAAGAGCCAGGTGCAGTGGCTTATGCCTGTAATCCCAGCACTTTGGGAGGCCAAGGCAGGAGGATTGCTTGAGCCCAGGAGTTCAAGACCAGCCTGGGGAACATAATGAAAACTCGTCACTACAAAAAAACTTAAAAACTAGCCAGGCATGGTGGTGCGTGCCTGCAGTCCCAGCTACTTGGCATGCTGAGGTGGACAGATCACCTGAGCCCAGGTGGCCAAGGCTGCCATGAGCTATGACTGTCATGATCATGCCACTGTATTCTAGCCTTAGTGACAGAGTAAGACCTCAACTCTAAAAAAAAAAAAAAAAAATCAATATTCTACAACCCACATTTCCTTTACTAATCAAGTTCTGAAACTTAATGTCAGGTAGGAAACTATCCCATCTGTTCTCCCTTACTGGTAGGAATCCCTTACAGATGGGAATCTTTTTCCTATTAAATAGATGATGGGACTTCTTAATCACAACCTCTCTCTGGTGCCTAGCACAGTGATGGTACATAAGTCCTCAATGACTGTTGGCCAAGTAAGTGAAGGAATGGAACCAGTGATGGAGAGTTCACAGCCCACTTGATTTGGTTCAATGACCATCACTGCCCAGAACTTCCTCCTTGTGTCTAACTTAATTGATTCTAGATAGAGGTGATTCCCAATGGCCTTCTCAGGATGCCATCTGGCTCCTTAGCCAAAACTGCCCCTCAAGTCTCGGCTGCCACACTGGATGTAGAGTCCACAAAAGGCAGTGGAAAGGCATGTACCCTGGACAAGCACATACAAGTCTAGGTTCACCCAAAAGTGGGCTCTTGGAAGCAATGGATTTTTACTCTCTAAAGGTCTTAGATCATTTTCAGCCTGGGGCAGGTGATGGGGTGGGGAAGAAAGGTATGAGCTTGCTAACGGTCAAATTCAGGTTTTTAACACATGTTAGAAGACACTCAGAGTCAGGCACAGTGGCTCATGCCTGTAATCCCAGCACTTTGGGAGGTGGAGGTGAGAGGATTGCCTGAGTCCACGGATTCGAGACTACCCTGGGCAATATGGCAAGACCTTGTCTTTACAATAAAAAAAATTAGCTGGGTATTAAGAAAAAAATTAACCAGTGTGGTGGCATGTGCCTGTAGTTCCAGCTACTTGGAAGGCTGAGGTGGAAGGATTGCCTGAACCCAGCAGGTAGAGGCTGCGGGGCCTGTGAGGCATGCCTCTGCACTCCAGCTTGGGCAATAGAGTGAGACTCTGACTCAAAAAAAAAAAAAGACAGACTCAGGAAAAGAATGGGACTCCACTTTATTCAGCAATACTGAGCATCCATCCTGTAAGAACCAAGGCCCCTTCTGAGCTTGGGCCCCCATGTAGGAGGAGATGGTTTCTCAGCACCTCTTGCGTCATAAAACACCCCTTCACCCGCTATCACACCCCTGTCTTCATTGTTTCCAGGTGCGAGGATCCCAAGAACAAAACTCTGGTTGCATCCCAAGATCAAGGGAACATTTTTAGGACAAAGTCCTGATTCAAGTCCAAGTATCTCCAGGGGACAGGCCATATGTCCTCAAAAGTCAACACTTCTTTAAAAATAATGTTCTTTGTGTATAAAAGTTACCAGACAGAATTCTAGGTCTGCATATATAAAATAAACCATATAAGAACAGGAAATAACAAGTGCATAGAATAATTTAGAAATGATTATGGGGCTATGTATCTGTGGGGGTAAAGAAACAAGCCCACCCGCAGCGTGCAGAACAGTTTCACTCTTGACAAGACAGAAATTATTATCCACCATGGGTAGGCAGCTGGGGATCTTAGACTTCACTATGCACTCCAAACACAAAACCCCACAAGAACAAATGCATTCCCCCTGGTAGGTAACTTACCCCAGGACAGTAAGCAGAGACAAAAGCAAGCCCGTAAATCTTCTCAGATTATACCTGTCCTGGCAAGCCCTGTCTGACTCTTATCAATGGACAGAACACTGAGACACTGGTTCCAGGCCATACTTTTTCATGTTTCTGTGCTCCTGACACTGGAAATAGAAGGGGGCTTGATCCTCATGCAGGTGACTCAGAATTGGAGAGCCCCTCCATCTTAACCTGAAATCAAAGCCGAAGACACTAAAGCCAGGAAGAGCAGATTCTAACCTGGGCGGGGAGCCCTGGAATGCTAACAGCTTGGGGTGAAGGCACCTTAGCCTGACAAAGTGGCAGCAAAACAACCAGAACCACACAAATGGATTTCCAGTATTTCTCTGAAGACTCAGCCCATGTTGTGGGCTATGCTGTCTTCCATTCCACATGGAGAAACATTTCCTCCCATTTTACCAAAGAGGAAACGGAGGCACAGAGGAATCAGGAGAGAGGGGTCAATCACATCACAAAATGTAATAGAAAAAGACCCAAATATCCAGACCTTCCACTCCTATACTCTGTTCTTGGATGTGTATAGGGCTTGACTCCAATCACTACAATGACAGTGTCCCAGAAATGAGGACAAGCTAGGGTAAGATTCTGGCTAAAGCCCCCAAAGCGCATTGAGGAAGAACGGCTCTTTTCAAAGGACATCGCTATTTGGGGAGGTGTGGCAGTTCCCTCTCTTGGGCCAGTCCCCTCACTTTCCCTCTTTGCCACTTCAGTAAAGTTTCTCTTTCATGTGAGTTCTCTGATGTGTAATAAAATTGGAGCTATTGCTGAAGCCTTTGCCACACTCAGGGCATTTGTACGGCTTCTCCCCTGTGTGGATTCGCTGATGTATAATGAGAACTGAATTCCAGCTGAAGCCTTTCCCACATTCGGGGCACCTGTAGGGCTTGTCTCCCAAATGGGCTCTCTGATGCATGACCAGAATGGAGCCCCGGCTGAAGCTCTTGCCACACATGAGGCATTTGTAGGGCTTCTCGCCCGTGTGGGTCCGCTGGTGCACTACCAGCTGAGAGCGCTGGCTGAAGCATTTCCCACACTCCCCACACTTGTAGGGCTTCTCGCCCGTGTGAATCCTCTGGTGCTTGAGGAGGTTGGAGCTCCAGCTGAAGCTTTCCCCGCACGTCAGACACTCGTAGGGTTTCTCCCCTGTGTGCATGCCCTGATGTGCGATCAGACTGGAGCTCTGGCTGAAACTCTTCCCGCACACCCCGCACTTATAGGGCTTCTCCACCATGTGGGTTCTCCGGTGCGTGGCCAGGTTGGAGCTGCGGCTAAAGCTCTTTCCACACTCACTGCACTGATAGGGCTTTTCTCCCGTGTGAGTTCTCCGGTGGGTAATGAGGGCTGAACTCTGGCTGAACCTCTGCCCACAGTCAGTGCATTTGTAAGGTTTCTCTCCCGTGTGGATCCTCTGGTGTCTGATTAGGTTGGAGTTGTAACTAAAGCTTTCACCGCATTCTTTACACTCATAGGGCTTTTCTCCCGTGTGGATTCCCTGATGAGTGTTAAGGCTGGAGCGGTTGCCGAAGCTCTTCCCACACTCGGGGCACGAGTAGGGCTTCTCGCCTGTGTGGGTGCGCTGGTGAGCGATGAGATTGGGGCTCCTGCTGAAGCTCTTGCCACACTCGGCACACTGGAAGGGCTTCTCTCCCGTGTGGATCCTCTGGTGGGTTATAAGGTTTGCACTCCGGCTAAAGCTCTTCCCACAATCCCTGCATTTATAGGGTTTCTCTCCAGTGTGAGTAGTTTGGTGTCTGCTAAAGTTGGAACCATCACTAAAGCTTTTCCCACATTCATCGCATTTGTAATATTTCTCTCCTGTGTGGGTCCGCTCATGCGTGATGAGGTGGGATTTTCGGCTGAAGGTTTTCCCACACTGGGGACATTCGTAGGGCTTCTCACCCAGGTAGGTGCCCTGAAGGCCTATCAGCTGGCCAACTTCCCTGCCCTGGGATGGCACCTCCCCAGGGTGCTCACCTGGGACGTTTCCCTTGGGCCCCCCAGAGCCGGAGACTCTCTTAAAGTCACTTTCCCCATCGGACTGCTGAACGCCTTCCCCTTCAGGTGTTTCCGAGAATGTCTCATGGGATTCAACATCCTCAAACATGTCTCGATTAGAGTTCTCCCCATTTTCACTCTGTATCTCAAAATCTGAAACAATGAAGAAAAACATACAATGTCTACTCAGCTCCCTGTCATTATGAAAAATTGAGGAGAAATTATAAAAATTAAACTACTAGTGAACATAAAGAGACTAGAAAATCCTCAAGGCTTTTAAAAACCAGGTCTATTTCATTCTAATTGGTTATTTAATTGCCAGGCCTCATATCTTTGTGGCAATCACTCAGAATTTCAAAGTCTTAAAGCTCTAGGTTCCATTTCTCTACCTCTCTCTTCACTGGGAAATGAGATCAGGTGGGAATTTTTAAATCCTAATTAAAAGACATCAACAGAACTCACAATGACCCCCAACACTCACCATGGTACCTGATGCTTAGTAGGTGCTCAATTCAATTTGATGAGTGATTGAATGAATTTTTTTTATCAACACTCTAGAAATTTCCCTAAAGCTCAGTCTCCCTTCAAAAGGAATTATAATAATTTGTTGCATTAAAACTTATCTAGTATTTATAATAAAACACGGGAAGATGACAGAGCCCCTGTAACCATGACCCTAGTTGTCTATACAAATGACTAGAAAAAAAAGCCTTCAAATTTGTCTGCAGTGGAAGCCTATAAATAGACCTTTAACTGGTAATACTTTCAACTGGTAAAAAAAAAAAAGAATATTTATCTTCCAGGAAATTGTCAAACCCTCTGCTATCCAATGCTTAGCAAACATGTGAATGAAAGAAATCATGAGGGAGGATTGCTAGAAGAATATAGCCCCTTCCTTAAATGAGAGACTCTAATATCTGTCCTACAACAAAGCCAGGCCAGCAGAGAGCTGTGAGCCTGGGTCACACTGTTTACTGACAGCATGTTAGCTTAATGGCCCTGGTCCACACTCTAAAATAAGGCATTAGAAATTAATGACTGTCAGGAACATTAATACTGCCAGGAAGTTGTTGACAACATTGTTTATACCACATAATGTTCTCTTGATAAGCCTGAGGAGGAAGTTTCCCTCCTTACCTCAATCTCAAAAAGAGTTGTTCTTTTGGGTTTTTTGTTTTTGTTTTTCCAGAGTCTCACTCTGTTGCCCAGGCTGGAGTGAAGTGGCACGCTCACAGCCACTACAGCCTCGACCTGCTGAGCTCAGGTGATCCTTCCACCTCAGCCTTACAAGTAGCTGGAACCACAGGCATGCACGACCAAGCCCGGCTAATTTTTAAAAATTTATTGTAGAGATAGGTCTTGCCAAGTTGCCCGGGTTGGTCTCAAACTCTTGGGCTCAGGTAATCCTCTCACCTCTGCCTCCCAAATTGCTGGAATTACTGGCATCAGCCACCACTACTGACCAAGAGCTGCTCTTTTGAGTGACTGATTTGTTTGCCTCATGCCCGTGATTGTGGTTCTCTCTTTGATTTGCCTGCTTAAAAGCTTGGTGCCAAAAGCTTAGAGCAGGAATACTGGATGTTTTTATAGCCTGCATTTGGTGTACTTGCATTTCATGTTTTTTCTCTTGTTATTTCCTTTTTTACTATAATTTCCTTGTGCTATATTTCTGTAAAGTGTCTCCAATCCTTTTTCAGAATTCTGTAGTGTAGAGATAAATTCATAATTTCATCAATGAAGATGATAACCTGATCATTCCTAAGATCTAGCATCAGACCTCCTGAGAAAGCAAGGAAGTCAATTAGTAAAATAATTACACAAAGTCTCAGTGACATTTCTATTATTAAAGCTGATAAACCATTATTTAAGATTAGATGCACAATTCAGCAATTAATAGTCTCTATAGTTAATGTAAATTTCCACATATGGGCATGGTAAATCTGACATACACTTCAGTTCCACTCATGCCTTCAGGCAATGTAAGATCACATTTAAACTTGTAAATAGACATATAATTGTTATTTCTTCTGTATGCTGGTTTATTATAAAGGATACAAATGATAGCTATAGAGCTGTATAATTATATTTAGTGCCTACACTAAAATACATGCTGGCAAACCATGGGTTCCTATAACTACCCTCTAGCCCCAAGCCTCCGAATCTCCGAGGGATAGACACAGGCATGAGGGGCACAAGGCATACTCCCGCTAGTCCAGCGCCATTTCTCAACTGTGCTTCCTCAACTTCCTGCAAGAGACTTTTTTCCCCTAAGTTTTGAGCACAGAGCTCTCTCTCATATTCCTTCTTGAAGGGTCTCCAGGCCAAGGCCCCAATTTATTTTCAGCAAGCTAACATGACCAAAAACTTGCTTTTCGATGACTTTAGTAACTGTTCTCTTCTGAAAAGGTCACATTAACTAACAAGGTGTTTTGCTGCTTTAAAATCAGAACTAGAAGCAACAAGGAAAACAAGTAAAAAACCCAAACTTCATTTTCAGTGAAATTAGAAGAAATATATAATTTACAGACAGCAAAATTCATGTCAGGGCTTCCATAATAGCAAAGACTGGGCAGAAGTGACGAGGAGGGAAGTGAAGAGAATAAGCATGGAACGTCCTGAGCTGGGTGGGTGCTCAGGAGCAGATCTCAGAAAGTTCTGGCAGAAAATCATTTCCTGAGGCTCAGGACTCACCCTCCATGTAGCAGTGCATTTGAGAACTGGGGTAAGCAGGGCTGGCTTCTTTTGTTCAGAGAAGCAGAGAGGGTGAGGCTACAACCAAAACCACACAGAGGACCATGTATGCAGGAAGCGGTTTCTGTAAAGCAGAGAAGGACAGAGTCTTTGATCTGCACACACTAACCAGGGGAATTATTATTATGGAGAAAAGTGACCATTTCCATCCATAAAAAGAGTTGAAGGAAGCCACTGCCTCTATAAAGGAATACCATAAAGTAGAACTTGGGGAAGATATGGTGAGCCAACAGGAAGAGATGAAACGGAAGCTGGAAAAGCTCAGGAAGAAGGGGAAAACCATCTAGAGAAATGAAGGCAAAATGGGAAGGAGCACAAAAAGGAAATGGGCATCTTGGGCAGCACAGAAACGGAAAAAGAAGACCAAAGTGAGAACAGCAATTAAATGAAGTGCAAACAAAGAAAGAGGTTAAGAGGATAAAAGAGAAAGACAGAGGCCAGGCGGATGGATCATGCCTGTAATTCCATCACTCTGGGAGGTCGAGGCAGGAGGACTGCTTGTGGCCAGGAGTTCAAGACTAGCCTGGGCAAAATAGCAACACCCTGTCTCTCTATATAAAAATAATAATAATAAACAACTTAAAAAGAGAATGATAGAAACAGAAGGCAAAAGAAGAATCAATAAACATAGAAGTGAAATTCTCAAAGAAAACAAATACTTAAAGAACCCTTGAAAGGTGTACTGTGTGCCAAGGAAAACTAACCCAGGATGGCTGACAGTGAGACTGGTGGATGAAAGGAAAAAGATCAAATCACTTACAAAGTGGAAGACAATCCACTGGTTTCAGGATTTCTCTACAGTAACAGTGCCAATAGCCACAAGATATGCAAGAAAATAAAATGTATGCCAAGGATTTTATATTCAACAAAATAGTCCTTCGAGTATAAAACCTATAGCAAACAATTCTAAACATACACAAATCAATGGAATATTAGGCAATGAACTCCTAACAAATTTAACTTTAGCCATGTGTGGTGGCTCATGGTCTATAATCCTAGCACTTTTGGAGGCTGAGGTGAGAGGACTGCCTGAGCCCAGGGGTTCAAGACCAGCCTGGGCAACATGGCCAGACCTTGTCTTTACAAAAAAATAGAATAATTAGTTGGGTGTGGTGGTCTGCACTTGGAGTTCCCACTACTTGGAGGGCTGAGATGGAAGGATTGCCTGAGTTCAGCAGGTTTAGGATGCAGTGGCCGTGAGTATGACACTGCACTTCAGCCTGGATGACAGAATGAGATTCCAACTAAAAAGAAAAAAAAAAGTTTAACTTTAGAACAAAGACTAAACTACAGTGGCAATTAGGGTAATTATAGAGCTTGTAAATGTTATACAGCAGCATAGAAATAACACTCTAACCAAAACTGAGGATGGAGGGAATAAGACGGGATAGGAGATGTGTTTGTTGATCGCTTCATCTGTAATACCTGGGTGTTCAGAGGATAACATTTAAAATAGCAAATCATGTAACTAAAGTATAAATGTACAAAAATAAACATTAAGAAAGATAACATTGGCCTGGAGGCTGGGCACGGTGGCTCAAGCCTGTAATCCCAACACTTTGGGAGATCAAGGTGAGAGGACTGCCAGAGCCCAGGGGTTCAAGACCAGCTTGGGCAATTTGGCAAGACCTTGTCTCTATAAAAAATTTTTTAAAAATTAGCCGGGTGTAGTAGCGTGCACCTGTAGTTCCAGCTACTTGGAAGGCTGAGGTGGAAGGATCACTGGAGCCCAGTAGGTTGCCACTGGGGTGCCATGAGTATGCCACTGCACTCCAGCCTAGGTGATGGAGTGAGATTCTGACTCAAAAAAAAAGGTTGGTCAGACATGGTAGCTCACATATGTAATCCCAGCATTTTGGGAGGTGGAGGCGAGAGGATTGTCTGAGTCCAGGGGTTTGAGACCAGACTGGGCAACTTGGTGAGACCCCGTCTCTACAATAAATTTTTTAAAAAATTAGCTGGGCATGGTGACACTCGCCCGTGGTTCCAGCTACTTAGAAGGTTGAGGTGGAAGGATCACCTGAGCCCAGCAGGTTCAGGCTGCAGTGACTGTGAGCATGCCACTGCACTCTAGCCTGGGTGACAGTAAGACTCTGACTCAAAAAAAAAGGTAAGATTATTAACTGAAATTGTAGGGACAAGGACTATCCCTGTTGGATATTAAAACACTATGAAATCTCAAATAGTAAAACATTAATAGGGCCAGGTCCAGTGGCTCATGTCTGTAATCCCAGAACTTTTAGGGGGCTGAGGCAGGTAGATTGCTTGAGCCCAAGAATTTCAGACCGGCCTGGGCAACCCCGTCTCTACACAAAACAGAAGTTAAAAAGTTAGCTGTGTGTGGTGGTGCATGCCTGTAGTCCCAGCTACTCGGGATGCTGAGATGGAAAGATCACCTGGCC